AAGAAGCTCGGGCCTGGCCAAAACCAACATGTCAAGCCTTTGCACATTCGGGTCTCGATGAATGGCTATCCTCTTGACCAAGTTCTGGTGGACAGTGGAGCTTCTGTGAATGTGTTGCCAATTGAGACCCTACGGAAGTTCGGAAAGACTAGTGATTATTTGATTTCTACATTTGTGCGGCTTACCGATTTCGTGGGAAATTCTTACAAACCGGCAGGTATGATCACTTTGAATGTGCAGGTGGGGACAAAGGAAATATCATCAAATTTCATGGTGATTGATGGTAGGCCATTCTATTCGGCTTTATTGGGACGGAATTGGATTCATGCATGCGAGTGTGTGCCTTCGACACTCCATCAAATGTTGATGTTTTGAGATGGAGATGAAGTCCAAGAAGTGAAGGCCGAGGAGGATCCCTTGTCGACAGAAGTGACCACAATTGATTCAAGTAAACGGCTCAAGGCAAAAGGACATGGGCTCAATGGAAGCAATCGCCCAGCCCTTTTGAGAAGGGCATTGTTGGACATAGGTCCAAAAGCACCTGAACGAGAAGGAGACTCAAAGACAAAAGTGGTGCCAGAGCTCATTGGCCACGGAGCCGCTCAACAGCAATGGAGCTTCAAGCCTCGGAGCCAAAGACTACTGCTTCCACAGAACCGAAGGCAACAGTTTCCATTGGATTGTGATGCTTCCACAGGGTCGAAAGCAGAGGAAGGTTGCCTCCACAAGATAGAAAGCAACATCTTCCACAGATCATGGGATAACTACCTCCGTTGGCCCTAGGTTAATAATTTCGTACTTAACATTAGTGGAGGACCTATGCACTCTCATGCTTTATTCAAAAAACTCCATGGAACAAACCAGCAAGAGGAAAACTGAAGATTTCATTTAACTCGAGGCTGTTGGGGATACATCCCCGTGGACCGGCTAGGAGTACGATGGAAACAAGTCGGAGTAAACAATATATCTGGTCCAGAGGCAATGGAAGAAGTTCAGAACAAGTGGAATCCGGTCCAGAGGCAATGGAAGCGGCTGGGAGCTGATGGAAGAAGGTTACCAGGTGGTTAGGAGCTTATGAAAGGAGGTTACCAAGGAGCTGATAGAAGGGGGTTACGAGGTGGTTATGAGGTAGTCGAATGAGGTGATTTGAAAGTTGGAGGTAGTAGTGGGAGGTTACCAGGAAGTTGGAGGTAGTAGTGGGAGGTTGCCAAGTGGTTTAGAGTGGTGGAGAAATAATTGTAACCGCTCCTTTAGTGGGAGAAGTGGTTATTCTAGCTTAGGATTACAAGTAGGAAAAAGAAACACAACACACACACGCACAACAGAACAATTCGTCTATTTTCTTACTTTTCTTTCATGTTTTATTTTCGTTGAATGCATTTTAATTCGAATTATATACTTTTATCCGCTTTCCAGTAGATGTTAGTTTAAATCCATTGAAATCGGTCGTTTAGGCTCGAAGCCTTGTGGACGATCGAAGCTGTGCAGGCTCCATCGTAGGAGCCGCCTCCAATCCGACGATGGACAGGCTCTTTGGAGTACTTCCGGAACCCACACCGACAAATCGACGAACGTTCTTAGAACCTCCGAATTTCAGGATCCAACACACTTCAAATTTTTAAATCTCAAACTTAATTAAAATACCATCAACATTCAATTTATCCATGTCTGCTTAATGTTGACGAAGAAGAATGCATGATTTTGTTGTTTGAGAAGATCAATCTTTTGATGTTAGTAACTTCTTGTCATGATCCGGTTCATTATTGGTTGAGATATTGGAGAAACTCGTGCAATCATCAAAGATTGGCATCCATAGTTGTTAGGTAGGTTTAGATTGTGTTCATATTGAAGGTTAGAAAAGATAAATTTTTTAGTTAAGATGATATGTTGATCAATGCATAACTCATGTTCCGGGTTCGGTTAGGTAATGAAGGTCTGGTTCTAGGTTATGTTTCAGGGAAGATCCGACGTAGTTTTATACGGATACTGCCGGAAGATAAAGTCAAAATTGAAGTAAGTCGTTATGATTCAACCAGATGAGGTATAATTTATCGACTTCGAAACAAGGATTCTAAAGATTAGGTGGTTTTTATTCACTACGAAAAATTTCAAGAAACTTTTTTTCTACCAAAAAGTAAATTCCGAATTAAGATAATAATTGTTGGATCGAAATTCCAGAAATATAGAGTAGATTATAAAAGTGAGCATGCTTTTATAAAATGAATGGAGTTCTAATAAACATGATATGTAGTATATATCGATATTTTCGACATTTTATCTATTTCAAGGGTTTGGGGCTCATCAATAACCATAATATATGCATAGGATTTATTATTTTTAGACATACAATCACACACTCTCATATATATATATATATATATATCACTAACTGGAAAAATCGGAAAAGGAAGACGAAGGAAAGGAAAATTCAGTGTGAAGGAGAGGAATTGAAGGGCATGTTTGTACTTTTCTATAAAATAAATAAATCATAATTAAAAAAAATAAAAAAAATAAAACTAATTGTACTTTCTCCGTCTAATCTATTTTGTCGGATTTATATACCACAAATACAGGATTTTAGGAGGTGACATAATGAGTAAATAATTAAAATATATAGAAATAAAAATAATTATAATACAATACAAATAATTATAATAAGATAACTAATTAAGATGTGTTTTGTTTGTGGGGTTTTATTTTGGGTAAATTCACTATTGTCATGTTTAGAATGTAAAAGTAGATTTTTGTATAATATAATAAATAAAATATAGATTTTAAAATATCACAAACAAACACACCTTTAGTTTAATTCGGATTAAAAAATATCGACTATGTAAAATATTATTAAATTATATAATTATTTTTTTAAAAAAGAAAAAGACAATATGTGAGACAAGTGGGTATAATTTTTTTATGACATGAAAATTTACAATATCTACTTTTTAAGTATGCTCTAAATAAATATCCAACTGAATTTAATAGTCTACAAAGTAAGTTATATCAGAAGAATCATGTGTGACGACAGGAAAGATCAAACGACGTTAAAGGAATTTGAATCCATGACAAACACTCACACTTTTAGAGAGAAAATTATAAAAACTATTTCACACTTATACTCTATTATTATTTTTGTCATGTATTTATTTCGTTGGCAAAATATATCCCTTATATTTACAAAAATCGTTATTTATGTCATTTGTTCGCACGTGATATTCACACCACGCGCGGCTACACACAGCCAAATAATAGAAATTGCAATTTTTTCAAACATGTGAGAAATATTTTGGCCGCAAGATAAATAGAAAAGAAAAATAATAATGCGGTATACGTTTTTGACATATTTTTTGCAATTTTTCCCGCAACGCGGGTGACCTCATGTTATAATTTGATTGATGGAACATAGGGCCGGAAAGGCATTGGACTGAGTATCAACTTTGAGCCATTAATATTCTTTTTTTTTTATTGTTGGTTATCTCACATTATTTGCTTTTTTAAAAAAATATATATAAAATATATATTATATATTTTAATCAAATTTTAAATTTTAAAATTAATAATATTTTTATTTTAATTAAATTATTAATTTTATTTAATTTTAATTTACAATTATTTATATTATATAATAATTATTTGTAATAATATATTTTTTAATTATTTACTAATTATATTTTATCTAAATTTTATATTTAGAATTATGTTATTAGATGAATCAAAGTTATTACTTGAAAAATTTAAATTCATCAAAATACTAGTTTATAAATATATATATATATATTTTTATTATTTACTGTGATTGTAATTATAGGAAGTTTTTCTATTTCAGCTTTCAATTTATTTTTAAGAATATTAATAATATTTATTTTTTATATAAAATATTATATCCAATAATTATTTTTTACTTCAAAAATATAAAATAAAATAAAATAAAAAGCCAAAAGAACACAACTTATGATATACTAATTTTTTTTCCGAAAGAATACTATTTTTGCATTTCAAAATGCTTGAAACATTTTTATTATAAATTAATTGTATATTTATTTTTATAAAAAATTAAAAATATAGTAAGGACCTTATGAGTTTTGCTTGTGATATCAAAGTAAACATCATGTAAACATTGTATTATTGTAACACTCCGGCCCGCAAGTCACGCAGTCCAAACGTGTTAGAATTAGATTGAGTCACCTATTTTGAAATTATCTTAAAACAAGCCCACGTAACTCTAGGGTTTTGTCAAGTGAACTTCTCAGGAGTCATTTATCCTAAAATAACCCTACAGAAGTATATTTAACTCTAAAGCAAATATGTTCAACTCTAAACGTGGATTTAAAAAAAAAAATTGTGCACATTGTTGAAATGAATAATTTATTCAATTCATTTTAATTACTATTCAACACCGGAGTATCACAATTATTGAAACGAGCAATCGACGGACCCCATTACTTGCCCAAGAGATAATTTGTGCATACCATTTTGGGATTTTTCAATTGTCTACGTTGGAACTCTTTACCGATGAGTATTTTTTCGTGTGTGTGTGTTTTTCGAGTATTGTAAGATAATAAGGAAACTGTGGTTTGTGTGTGAGATTCTTTTGTTGGTATTTGGAAGTAGTGTTTTAGGCTATGTTTACTTGTATGATTTTACTATTTCAATTTTTTTTTTTTTCAAAAATATCGAATCACATATTCATTTTTTATTTATTTTATTACACTAAAATCTAATGTTACATTTAAACATCACATCAATACATATTTATATCAAATAAAATAATTATTTCAATTGAAAATTTTACTATTTAAAACAAAAACAAAAAATCATAATCTTACAAGTAAATATTCTTTTTACTGGCCTGTCGATGTAATATGCAAATAAGGTGCACGGATATGGCTGGTTTTCTTCACTACATCGATTTCCACTATTCAGCCCATTTTTTCCCCCAAAAAACATCAAATCAAACACCTATTTTTTATTTTTTATATTATACTAAAAATCAATTTTACATTCAAAATATCACATCAACATCTATTTATATAACATAATACAACTATTCAAATTTAAAATTTTTACTATTCAAATTCCAACTCAAAATTCAAACCTTCAATCAAACACACAATTTATTAAGCATATGTATATGTAAACTACCATATCAATAAATTGTAATAATGGATGTTACATATGAACTACTAACTAATTAGGTTAGGCTTTCCTTCTTATGTCCTCCATTTTCATGTTTATGAGCAACACTCATACTCCCTTTCATACTCCCTTTTCCCTGCACCCACAAATTAACAAATACATATATATAATAAGTAAAGAAGTAAAAATGTATAAGTAAAAGATAATTATTCTATAATATAAATAATTATAGATTAAGATTGAGATAACTAAAAACTAATTAAAATATATAAATTAAAACATTTAAAATGATATTAAAATGTATAATTCTTTTTTAAAAAGAATATGACATGAGATGTGGAACGGACAGAAACGACAATATGTACGTAGTATGTGGGATTGAGGGAGAGTATATAATTAGGATTTTGCAAATCTTCTGCGTTGTTACACTTACAGCGTTGATAGTGAAGGTTACTCCAACTTCAATTTCTCCGTGGTATGTTTGGTTGCTGGAAACAACTCGATATTTTTGTGCATGGATTTCAGCCTTCCCGTTCTCTACCCCTTCCTCGAATAATTCCTCCAAATAGATTCTGCTTGCGCACATGCACATAAATGAAGCGAGGCAAATTCATAATATAATTTATGTATGTTTAGAATGACATGTATGCATATATTTGTTAGTGTTATTTTGGAAAAACTCACTTTAATTTGATTTTTTTGAAGAAAAAATACTATTCATTATGTCAATTTTTCTTCAAAAATATTATATATAACAATTATTTTCTATACAAAAATCTTATTCAATAACTATTTTTATTATTGCTAAAATTAATTGTTACATCGACAAGTTTTCACTAAGTAGTATTAGAGAAATTCCGAGCAAAATATTAAAGATATTTTTTTAAAAAGGTAAATTACATTATATCATAATTGTTCCATGAAGTCGTAAAATAATACCTTGATTAAATTTTCCATCATTTGAAATTTAGCAAATAATATGTCTCATATACTTGACTAAATTGAATAGTCTATCTCAATTCTAGACATAATATATGAGACATATTATCCATTAAATTTGAATTGATGAAATTTTCATGTGGAGTTTTACAAAATACAAATAACTCTCATGTAATTTTTAAACCAGATCGAATAATGATGATTTCTTGATAAATTAAATAAAGATATAGTCAAATTTACCCTTAATAGTATGTATTTAACGATAATATGATTCATAATTACATACGTTGCTTGTCCAAGATGGTCGTCGTGAGTGAAGGTATCGTGATCCATAAGTTTGAGAAGAAGCTTGTGTTGTTCTTCTCCTCCGGCTTTGTACTCTACTTCGAATTTGAAATTCTCATTCCACATTGGGTTGTGCCCACCTTGTCCTATATAGAACATATATTCAATTGATTGAGCATCGAGTCAATTAAGAAATATTTAAAATAACACATCAACATCTATCTATATCAAACAATTACTCAAATTTTAATTTTTATTATTCAAAAAATTAAATCCACAAACAAACACACCCATAGTTTTGTAATATTTTTTTAGATGTTTTATAAAAATAATAATAATATATTTTATTAAGAAATATTAGTAATAGAAAAATTGGAAATGAAAAATACAAACTATAATATCTGTTATATATTTTATTGAAAATATTATGAATAAAAAATTAATTTTTATTACTCTTTGATCCGAACACTTTGTTCTTTCTCTTTTTTTTTTTTTTCCCCACAAGTTTTTTCAAAAAAATTAATACATTACACACATTCATTGTTTTTATATTTCCTACACAATTCTCTATATCTTACATAAAAAAAACTTTCTTTCCAACAATCTCACAAAACAAACACACCTTAGTAAAAAATGACAAGATGAAAGCCAGACCGAGGTAAAGATGCGGAATATATATATATATATAAGTTGTCCTTCACGCCTAGACGATCAAAAACTCGTGATGAAAATAAGGGAATTGTATGTGAAAAAATGTGGAAGTTTTTCGGTAATTGAGAAGTTGAACGATCATGTTGTCTCAAAATCTAGGAGCAATGAAGTTAGAATATAAAAGATTTTTACGAACATAAATTTGAATGATATATGAAATAATATTTATTTATATCCTATGATTTAAAATACGAAAAAGAAGTGATAAGTGACGGACCTTGAATACAAATACAACATTGCATTCGAGACAATACAGTACGCCGTTTTCGCTGACCAGTTGTGCTTCTCCTCTCTTCGTTTTTGTATTGAATAACTACGTAAGGATCCATTTTACCTGCATCCGTCGTACAATAATTCTCTATTCATTAAAATGTAGTTTGTATATATGAAAATTATTTAATTAGACTAATAAATTTCGTAAAAATATATATAAGATAAGAATTTCAGACAATATTGATAATAATGTAAATATATAATGTTTATTTATAAAATTGCTAATTCAAATAGGTTCGGAATGAAGCAAAATTTGAAGAGAATTTTTTTATCCCCAAACTTGATCAGGTTAAAAAAAATATTTTAACTCATAATCCGACCGGCATGGGCGGAGTTATTCAGGGGCAAGGATTGGCTGCAATCCCCCCTTGCCCCACCCCACCCCACCCCACCCCACCTCATCCTTATTTTATTTTTTATTTATTTATAGAAAAACATATATATGTACGTACAGTTATATATAAAAGATGTTTAAAATAAATAAATAATAATAGTGATAATAAAAATTAGTGTTATACTCCCTCTGTCCCAATACAATAGTCTTATTTATCATTTTTGTCTGTCCTAAAATAATAGTCTTATTTTCATAAATAACAATATCACTATAAAATTATATTTACTTTTTCATTAATATTACACAATTGCAACTAATTTTTACACTAATACACTCACAAGGGCAAAAAGGTATTTTACTCATATTTTTTACCAACTATCAATATAATATCAATATTCCTTCAATCTCGTACCCAACACAATCAAGACTATACTTTTGGGACGGAGAGAATATAATTTTTTTTAGTGAAAACTTGTATTATTTTTTTTAAAAGAATAAAAATAAAAATTTACAACATATATAATCATAATATATAGTTATTGATGTTGTTTTAATTTGTTATTTTGTACTTCCTCTTCCTATGTCCCACATCTCATATCCACTTTTTTATTTCCGGTCTCACTTATTTTTTCTCTTTTTTTTTTTAAAAAAAAATAATACACTTTAATATTATTTTAAAAAGTTTAATTTATAATTTTTTTAATTTTAATTATAATAATCAGTTATCTTAATCTTAATCTATAATTATTTTTATTATACGGTAATTATTTTCACTAATATATTTTTAATTATTTAGTAATTATACTCCTTCTAAATTCATGTATCTACAGTAAAGCGAACAAAATATCCGGAACGGAGGGAGTAATATAATATAAATAAATAAAATTTGCCTCCTCTCAAATGTATTATGGTTCTGCCACTGCCGACCTGTATATATATAAAAGATTTTATTTGAAATACTCAATTTAAAGTGTGTTGATTTTGATTTTGAATTATTTTTTTTAAATAAAAAAAATATTATTCAATATACATTATTTTTAATAAAAATATATTATATTTTTTTTTATAAAATATCACGTTAAAATAGTATTTAAATTAAAATTAAAATTTCACTAAAGCCAAACAAACCCTTCTTCTTATTATTATTATTATTATTATTATTATTATTATTACATGTATTGACCTAACTTAGTTAACGTGATGTATTGACAAATTGCAAGTCACGATAGAGTTTAGGTACGTAGTTGGCGTGGTAAGTACTTTATATCCAACTTCTTCCAATCTGCTCTAATAATAAATTACTTATTTCCACCACAAAATTCAAATTTGGGGCAAAATTTTCTGTTTGGATAATAATTTTTAAAGTTTTGAAATATTGAAAAAAAATTATAATAGTAAAAAGTTTAATATTTGATTTAATATTTTATAAATATATATATATTTAATATGATATTTTAAGATAAAATATTGTTAACAAAAGATATCAAATTTTTCAAAAGTGTCATAAGGCATAAGCAATTTCGGTACCACCTGATTTTTTTTATTATTTTAATAAGCAATATCTACATTTTTTTAAAAAAAAAAAAACTACCTAAAAAAAATATCAATATGAATGTTTAAAATATTTTTTACAAAAAATTAAATGTGAATGTTTTAATTTTTTTAAAAAAAATAAAAAAAAGATAGATCTTATTTATTTTAAAAATATTATATCAAGTATATAATTTTTATTTAAAATATTACATAAAAAATATTTTCTTTATTCAAAGTATTAAATCAAATATTTTTTCATATAGTATCAAACAATTGTCTTTAATTGAAATTGTCAAATAGTTAATTTGAGGCCATCCTAAACGTGATATTGATTTGATCGAGTTAGCATATGTCACAAAAGTAATCAACATATAACTATACATGTCTCAGCATATATTGTGTTATAAGATATCATATGCTAACTTATAATATAATATATATATATATTATAAATATGTTGAAATATATATAAATATATGCTAATCACCCCTATAGTATATGTTGATCCGATCAAATCAGCACCATGTTGACTTGACCGAATCAGGAGCTGATTCATACTCTAATTTGAGTATTTGGAAAATTAGTGCTTTGAAATAGCCTTTTGAACTAAACATATGTGTTTATTTTGTGTTTTGGTTTGAAAAAAAAAAATTATATCGTAAAAAATTATGTAAATAATACAAAAATAATAATATGTATAGTATATTAATTTTTTTGGAAAAATAAGTAAGAAATTTTTACAAAAGAAACAAACCTATCCACCATTTTACACTACAAAAAAATAGTATATTTGTAATGGAATTTCGTTCCTAAAGTTCACGTAGCTAACGTAATTCTATCCCTAATTTCATCTCTAAGATCATTAGTAACGGAAAAAATGGATTTAAGAACAAAAAAATCTTGTTACAAAATTAATATTTTTTTGTAGTGTTAACATATATATATTGATTGCAGTATATATTAATTATTTTAATATATTTTATATATTAATTTATAAATTTACTTTTATAAATTTAAAATCATTGAAATTATTTATTTTTACATGTCACTATTTTATTTTAAACTATATAAATTTATTAAAATTAAATTAAATAAAAAACATAAATATTATTAATTTTTATTAAAATGAATAAAATAAAATACATTTATTGAAAGTTATAAATATAATGAATTAATAAATTAATCAATAATTAACATAAAAATAAGTATACAATATTTATTAATTTATATTTTACACAATTCTCAATAAAATAAATAAATATTTATATTTTTCTATAAAAATACATTATTTTTTTTAAATCTAAAAAATATAATATTTTTATAATTTTTAATAACTAATAACAAAAATTTAAAAATAATATAATAAAGCCCAAAGAACATAATTGAATATTTTAAAAAATAAAATAGAAATATCTTTTATCATTATCTTATGTATAAACAACTAATATTAAATTTATTTTTGTCAAATATTAGTTAATTGAATCAGTTAGCCAAACTAGCTTAAGTAACAACTATCAACTTCATTAAGACAGAGCTGACTCATTTTGCATTTTATAGATAACACTTAAAATATATTTGATGTAATGTATCTAACCCTAGTATTTTTTACGAGAGAAAATAATATTTTTATGAAAAATTGTCTACTGAATAATATTTATTTGTGTTTGAAATAATAAAACAAACAAACCCCAAATAAATACACGCTAAATGTTTTTATTTATAATTATTTATTAAAGTTAATATTTGTTTTGTTTGTTTTGTAAAATTATTTTAAAAAATATTATTTTAGCGTATAAAATTGTATAAATAATATAAAAATAATAAATATATTTAATATATTAATTATTTTTAAATTTATTTTTTTTCAAAAAAAAAAAGACTTAGATTCAAAATGCCGTAAACAATAACCGTAATGCTTAATTCATCTTCTTACTTAATTCAATATATATTTACATGTGTTTGAAAATGCATGCAAATTAATGTAGTGTTATTTTGCTGTTTGATTTTAATTTTTTTATCATGTAATTATTGTAACTATGTATGAAATAGTATTATTTTTCATAAAATACGACATTTAAATTCCTATTCAAACAAAAAATAAAATAAAAAATAAACAAACAAACAAAATAAGCATATAAAATCAAATTCCAAACAACTTCTAGTGTGTATTCTTAGTTTGTATTTTCATTTTAATTTTTATATTTATAATATTAAAATCATGTGTGACTTTAACTTCAAAAAATATCATAATTAAAATCATAAAAGCAGAATTTATTTATAATGTATATATCAATTGTGTATTATTCAATCTATTAATTTCTTTTAAAAAAATATTCTATTTAAAAAAATATATTATATTTAAAATAATTTTTCATTCGTAATACCATATAAATAGTTATTTTATCTCAAAATGTCAAAATTAAAATAAATAAATAAATCACTAAATAAACAAATCTCGAAAATGCTTTTCTTCAATGTATAGGTATATATACTGAGTTGATTTGTACAATTTTAATTTTTATCTTAGACGGTACGTTATTCCAGAATTATTATCAAAAAAATATAATACAATATATGCACTTGTTAATACACTATATAATATATATATATATATATTTCATTCAATTACACAAAGTCAGCAATTTAATACAAAATATTATATTTCATATTAAATTTATTATATTTAATGTTAGAATATGAAATTGAAATCTCTTATTTCGTAAAAATGTATACATATTTACAAGAGTTTACTAATCTTTTAGAGCATAGATCACTTGTTAATCTGGTGCTGATTTGACCAGATCAGCATATAATATACGAATGATCAACCTATATTTATCCATATTTTAGTATATTTATAATACAATACATATTATATTTTAATTCAATATATATTATTTTATAACACAATATATATTAGTTACTCTATGGCATATGCTAATCCTTCGAATCAAAACTCTATTGACTCACGGATTAGCACAGGATCTGCGACCAATCTTTTAAGGGTGTGTTTGTTTGAAGGATTTTGGAGGATTTCTACTATTCATCCAATTTTTTCCCCCCAAAAACATCACATCAAACACCTATTTTTCATTTTTTATATTATACTAAAAATCAATTTTACATTCAAAACATCACATCAAACCCTATTTATATCACATCATACAACTATTCAAATTCAAAATTTTTACTATTCAAATCCCAATCCAAAATCCAAACCCCCAAACAAACACACCCTAAATAAAAACTATCATAAATACTACTAAGTACTAATGTACTATATATTCAAAATCTAACATAAAACACATTCGATGAAAAAAAAAATGAGCACAAATTTTGAAACATACCAAAGAGTTCAGTGTTTTTAAGACCTCGAGCACGAACAACCGTCACCTCCATTACTCCGGCCGTCATCTTCGCCGCCGCCGTCGCCGGAAAACAAATTATTAGAGATGAAAAGGGTTTACTTTTCCGTTGAGTTGAGTTGCAGAAATTTATACATACATATATATATAGAGAGAGAGAGGAGTTTTAGAGAGAGAGATACAGCAGCTGCCTCTTTGGCTGGAATTAATTAATTAATTAATTTGCTTTACTTAATTTATTAAATTAAATTTATAATATAATATAATATAATACAATTGCACTTTTGATAGCAGACACGCCTCCATGCTTCCTTCACCGATCGTCTCGTCATGCATTGAATTGAATTTCACCACGCCTCTATTTCTTTAAGCTTTGGCATTGCTATAATATAAAAGGTCGCCGGTATATTTCTTTTGAGTTCTTTTCCAAAATGTTTGGTATTTGAACTCCACGTTCTTTAAAAATATATAGTATATATATTTTAACTCACAAAAAAAATAAAAAATAAATCGTATAAATGAAAATTTCAAATATCCAAACTTAATACAAAAAAAAAAAAAAACAAAAAAAAAAAACACACACATTCAAAGGCTTTCTTTACATATGTATGTTTAAAAGTTTTGAAACGCGATAAATTGTTTTAAAAAAAGTCACATCAAATATTTATTCTCTTGCAAATATTACATTAAATATTATTTTCGAAATTCAAATTATTTGAATATTTGCGAAAAATAGAAATTGTATATTAATCTAAAAAGATAGTGCATATATATAGGCATATATATGTGGATCCCAAATGACAATATATAAAAAATATCCTAACACCCCCTTCAAACTCAAAGTGGTAAACTAGAAACCAACTTGAGTTTGCTCAACAATGTGGAGAATCGGCCGGGGAAGAGAGACTTGTTGAAGATATCCGCAGTCTAATTTTCGGAAGAGATAAAAGATAGATGAACAGTGCCTGCACGAACATGCTGACGAACAAAGTGACAATCAATTTCAATATGCTTGGTGCGCTCATGAAAGCATCATTATGAGAGATCTGAATTGCGCTCGTGTTGTCACAATGGAGGGAAGTGGAAGAAAGTTTAGGAACCCTGAGATCAGAAAGAAGCCAACGAAGCCAAAGGAGCTATGAAGTCGAATCCGAAAGAGCACGATACTTAGACTCTACACTGGAGCGAGAAACAAGAGTTTGTTTCTTGCTGCTCCAAGAAACAAGGGAACTCCCAATAAAAAAACAATAACCTGTGATAGAGCGACGATCAGTCGGATCACCTGCCCAATTAGCATCAGAGAAACCTGCAAGAACCAATGTAGAGTCAACAGAAAAATGAAGACCGTGTAGGAGTGTTCCCTTGACATAACGAATGATGCGCAACACAGCAGCATAGTGAACTGTCCGGGGATTAGTCATGAACTGAGCAACAACATTAACCGCATGAGTTATGTCAGGGCAAGTGACCGTTAAGTATATTAGGGATCCCACTAACTGCCGATAGCAGGATGGATCCTCTAGTGGAGTGCCGTCGAAAGGAGCAAATCGGCAATTCCCCTCGAGAGGTAGTCAGACTTGAACGAGATATGAGATCAGATGCATATTTCGCCTGAGATAGATATATGCCATCTGAAGCGTCAGAAATCTCAAGTCCGAGAAAATAGCAGAGCTGAGTAAGACACTTCATGTCAAAGTGTCGATGAAGGTAGATCAGTAGATCAGATATACCAGAAATATTGTCACCGGTAATAACCATGTCATCCACATACAATAAGAGAATGATGATCCCAGCAAGAGAACGACGAATAAAGAGAGCAGAGTCATAGAGAGATGCAGAAAAGCCATACTGAAGGAGCGCAGCACTAAACTTGGCGAACCAAGCTCGGGGCGCTTGCTTCAGTTCATAAAGGGCACGGCGCAGTTGACATGCCTTCCTTGAAAAATCTGAGCCAGGTGGAGGGGTCATATAGACTTCCTCAGACAAATCTCCATGAAGAAACGCATTCTTCACATCCAACTGTAATAATTGCCAACTCCGAACAACGGCAACAGCAAGGAGACAACAGACAGATGTCAAACGAGCAACTGGAGCAAATGTCTCCTCATAATCAATACCATACTCCTGCGAAAAACCCCTGGCTACAAGGCAAGCCTTGTAGCGCTCAACAGAACCATCGGAGTGAGTTTTGATTTTGTACACCTACTTGCAGTTAATAGTTTTCTTGCAAGGAGGGAGATCGATGATATCACACGTTCCGGTCTTCTCAAGAGCCTGCAATTCCTCAGACATAGCGTCGCGCCACAAGGGATCACAGTTCGCCTCACGAAAGGTCTTAGGTTTATGGTGAGATAAAATGGCTGAAAAACAATGATAATCAAGTAGATGAGAGGGAGGACGACTTACACGGGTGGATCGCCGATCAATGGCGGCAAGAACTGAAATTTCCGGAAGGTCGGGCACAGGCTCAGGAGGCGCAGGAGGGTCAGCTGGTGGGGAAGGATCAACATCAGATAGACCAGCAGGAACGGACGAGGGTTCTGGACCTGCAGGAGGAGAAGAGGAATCCAGAACATGAAGGGACGGGGGTTCGGAACCTGCAGGAGGAGGAGAGGAATCCAGAACACATAATGTGGACTCTGACTCAATGGGAATAAAACATTTAGACTCAGAGGAAAATAACTTATACTCCCAAAAAGTAACATCCCGAGAGATACATAGACGATTCGACACAAGATCCCAACATCGATAACCTTTATGTTCTATCTCATACCCAATAAAATAACACAGACGGGTGTGTGGTTCTAATTTGTTATGTTCATGAGGAGGAAGATAAACAAAGCTGACACAACCAAAAGGATGAAGATGAGAGTAATCAAGTACCTGACGGAAGAGCCTTTCAAAATGTGTGGTATCCTAAAGGACAGGTGAGAGTAAACGGTTGATATTATAAACAACAGTAAGAGCAGTCTCGCCCCAGAACCGATCTGGACAACTGACAGATAACAGTATGTTTCGAACTGTGTCTAAAATATGATGATGCTTGCGCTCTGCCCTACCATTTTGTTGAAATGTGTAGGGAAAAGAACGTTGGACAAGAGTACCTTGGGTGGACAGAAAACTAAGAAAGACAAAATCATTATATTTGAGGGCATTGTCAGTGCGAAGAGTCTGAATAGAACACGAGAACTGAGTTTGCACTATTTTAGCGAATGCAAAGTAAATTGAAGCAAGTTCAGACCGTTTACGCATAAAGTAAATCCAAGTAAAGCAAGAGTAATTATCAATAAAAAGCACAAAGTAACGAAACCCAGTAAGAGTAGCAACATGAGAGGGCCCCCAAATGTCAGAATGTACTAACGAAAAAATTTTATCAGCAATAGACAAGTTATTCAAAAAAGGTAAAGTTGGTTGTTTTCCAAGTTTACAATGCACGCAATCAAAAAATTCAAAATGAACTGTGCCTAAAACACATGTATTTGCAAGAGACTTGAGTTTAGATAGGGAGACATGACTAAGTCTGAGGTGCTAGTAATAAGAAGATGAAGAAGAGACTGCAGCGGAAAGAGATGGTGTCTGGCGAGGACAAAGGTGGTCAAGCTCAAATAGGCGGTCTGTCTTGCGACCCATCCCAAGTATCGACCAGTCTGCGTGTCTTGAACCTGCACACCAGAAAAACAAAAAATTACAGTAAAATCCTGCTCAACCAAATGACCGACAGACGCAAGATTTAGGGCTAATTTGGGAATGACATAAATATCATCGAGGTGGGGGGACGATACATGGTCAGTATGGGTAATACGCATGAAGGTGCCATCAGCGGTAAGTATAGGAGGGGATGAGGTGACGGGTTGAGAGGAATGTAAAAGGCGAGGGTCAGGTGTCATGTGGTTACAACAGGCATAATCAATATACCATGTGTTGTTACCTGATGTCGAGGCTAATGAAAGATGAATTGATAAAACCTGAGTGAACATGTGACGTAGGTCCTCAAGGGTGGGAGGCGGTTGAGGTGACTGTGATACGCAAGTGGCAGCAACAATGGCAGAGGAAGAGCTGGAAGAAGACTAACCAGCCTTGGGATTCTTGGGACAATGCGGACGGATATGGCCTTTCTGATGACAGTAGTAACACTCAACCTTAGGGCAATAGATATAAAGATGATCAACATTCGGGCAATTGCTACATTTATCAGATTATGGTGGTCGGGCATCCTTGCGATTATCTCTGCAATGAGGAGTAGGAGAGAGAACTGCCAAGGCTGAATCAAGAGTAGGAGCCTTGAGCATCTTGAGGCGGGTGTCCTCAAACAAAATCTCTTTCATCGATGTCTCCAAGGAAGGCAAAAGATGACGATGAAGTAAGGAAACACGCACAGACTCATATTTTGGACCAAGCTTCATCAAGAGCTGAATCAACCGAAAGTACTCAATCTGTATGTCGGCCTCATCAATGCTTTGATACCATGTTTGAATATTTACGGAAAATAATAATTGTATATTAACCTAAAAATAGAGTGCATATATATAGATATATATGTGGGCCTCAAATGACAAACTCTTATAAAACAAACACTATTTTATTTATTTTTATGCAAGGATTTATTTGTTTTTTATTTTAAATTCAAATTAAAACAATAAATCAAAATAAATAAAAACTCAAATTAAATTTAACAAACTATGCAATTTTTTTACATTTTAATCTACTAACTTTCTATTCAATATAAAAAACATGAAAGAAATGGTGTATTTAGTCGGTAATTTCTTTATATATTATTTAAATAATAAATATTTTATGAGAGCAAACATATAGGGTGTGTTTGTTTATGGGTTTGGGTTGTTGGGTTTGGATTTTCAAAATAGTTAGAATTTGAATAGTTATTTGATTTGATATAAATAAATGTTGATACTATGTTTTGAATATAAAATAAATTTGTAGTATAATATAAAATAAAAAAGTAATTGTTTGATATTTTTTTTAAAAAAAAAAAGAATTGAATAATAAAACTGTATTATAAAAAACTTACAAAAGAACACAACCATATATATTATCGCGGAGTGTAAAGAATGAATAGTAGAAAAATATAAAAGAGTTGTAAAAATACAAGAAAATCACAAATAAACATAATGAAAGTGTTTATAGGAAAACATTCACA